TATAGGGTATAACTACTTGACAAAACAACATGTTCTTATAATGAAGCGTGCTTGTTCACTCCTTAGAGTTTAATCAAATTCAAATCAGAAATAAATAATATGTTAAAAGAGTTACGAAAATAATATAATTATTCAGTTCTATGTATAAGTAATTAAGTATTCAGCATAAGCTTGAGCATCATGATAAGTGACAAAAATATGTTTACCATCAGTAGTTGAATCGAATCCAGCAGGGCAAATCTTCATTGAACTATTACCTTTAGTTGTATTTCCAACTAGAACTCGTGCCAAAAACATATGACGTTCTCCATTGACATTTGGTTTTGCATAATCATGACTATAAGCTGCATCTGATGAAAAATAAACACCAAAACCATACGCAGTTCCTAAAGATCAAAGTGCCATCGATACAAAACGAGTGAAATGAGACATAAATTTACCAGTAACTCCTGCAAAACTGCGATTGAAACAACTTTTCACGATTTTGTCAGCTGCCTCTTGAGGACATCCGTGATACAAACTTTTTTCAGTATCTTTATCGAGAGTTCTTTTGAAACTTCGACTATGTGCCAAATATTGAATATACCATCGTTCATTTTGAATGCGTTCTATTCGTATTATTTTTGTATATTTTCCTTTGATAGACTGATTAAAATTGGCTACGATTGATTTGTATTCATTCGCTGTATTTGATAACTCAAAACGCATTTCGTTTTCTGTTGGCTTTTCCCATGTTGTAGGAAACTGATAATAAACCGATTTCTTACTATCTGCTAAAATTAAAATTATTAAATTTTTGAATAGCGTTACTCTCATTAAGGGAACGTAAACCTTTTCATGATGTGTTTTTAACATTCGGATGATCTATTCCTTGCCCAGTGAAAAATATTCATGAAAAAAAACGGCAAAGAACACGTTCCACTTTTGTAGAAAACTTTTTTTAAGAAAAAAAAACGCTCGCTATAAAAATGGAACGGTTGAGAATGCGTTCCAATTTTATCGCAAGCGTTTTTTTCTTAAAAAAGTTCTCTACGAAAGTGGAACGCGTTCTTGGTCGTCATAATTTAAAATGATGAAAAACGCGCTCCTAGATCAGCTTTTTCTATGAGAGCCCTGGAGAGTTCGGAATGATTAACGAAACCTCTAAGGAGCTATTGAGAAGTCAAAAAAAAGAAATCCTTGTAGACTGCCTAAGAACTCCAGAAAGTTCCAAGGCAGTCTACAAGGATTTTTCGTCTTTTTGTTGGCTTCTCAAGAGCTCCTTAGAGGTTTTGTTAATCATTCCGAACTCTCCGGGGCTCTCATAGAAAAAGCTGATGTAGGAACGCGTTTTTCACAAAAGAATTTAAAATGGAATTTATTAGATTCCTATGTCCTTACAGAAATATTTTACAAAAATAAACTGGGATATCACTTAGTCCTCCTACTAGATCCATATACTCTACCGGAAAAGCCTATCCTTATCTAAAACATAGTCAACAGAGAAAACATTTCTCAATCTACTGCATCTGAAGTCACTGGTCACTATCTATAACTAAAAATCACGAAAAAAAACTGATTGCTTCTATTAAGATGGAATCAAACTAAAGTTAAAACTAAGTGTATCTCAACTACATGGGAAAAATGATTATTCATATTAGAATGGAATAAAACTATAGAAAAACTAACTCTATCTCTCCGAGATGAGAAAAATGATTTTTTTTATTAAGGTGGAATGAAAACTAAAGAAAAACTAACTCTCTCTTTATTAGATGATAAAATTATTTTTTTTTCTTTATTTTTTGAAGAAGAATCATTTTATTTAGCATTATCACTTATTTTAAAGAATCATAAAAATAGATGTTGATGACATCTATCTTCAAGTATATGGTCTGTATGCAGGGTTGCCAGATGAAAATTTTAAAAATCAGAAAACATCAGACCATCAGAAGGAAACCAGAAAGACATCCAAATTTCAGACACTGTCCTGACTTTTCAGACAATCTGGCAACCCTGTCTGTATGACTTATCATTGTATGGTCCACTATTGACTTTCGTTCATTTCTCTCTATTCCATTATGTCTTTGTTATAAGGCACTATTTGTTCTCAATGTGGCGAATAATTTTATCTAAGTCATGAAACGCCGAGAAAACATTTTATTTTTTCAAAATTTGTTCTTGACTCCATGAGAAGATTCGGAAGTTTGTAGAATGACAAAGAATACATTCTTTTCTATTCAAGAACGATGTTAAATTGCCTGGAACGCATTCATCCGTTCGAAGAACTCATTCTTACATATCCCAGTAGCAAACGCTAACGAACGCTTTCTCATTTTAATGGAATCTAATTTTGACCATTCTAAAATAGAACGGAAAAGAAACTATTCTAATAGTGATTGGAACGGTTCAGAACGCTTTCCATCGAGAGTGAGAACGATTTGGAACTAAGAAGAAAGCATTCCAAAATTACGTGGAACGGCAAAGAATGCGTTCCTTTAAATGCAGAACGTAATTTTTTTACTGATGAACCCGTTCCACAAAGTAAAGAACCCATTCTTCACTTACAAGATCGCGTTCCAGTTTTTGATGAATGCGTTTTTTTTCGACTTTTTTGAAATATTTTCCACTGGGTGATAACTAAATCGGATGTAACTAATCTTGCCGGTTTTCTTTCCTCAAATCAACTGGTAAACTTAAAGTCATTAAGTACAATAGTTTTTATCTAAAAATCAGAGAAGAAATTTGTTCCATCTTGTTTCTACTCAGCCTGACTGAAAAATTTCTGATCTGAATCATTCTTAAAAAGCTAATAGTTTACTCAGTCTATGGTGAAAAGTTAAATTTAGCCGAAAAAGAAAAGTTTAATTATACCATTCTGTGTTGCTAATACTTGTTTACAAAATTCGTCATAAATATTCAGTTGACCAGGTTGTATCACGAATCTTACTACCACAGGTAGATTTCTGATGGTCAATTGGTTTTTCATTTCTTGCACCATCGTCTTGACTACAATATCTACAGAACACCCATGTTGTCCACATCCCAAAGCTGGAAATGCACATGACGTGAACTTATATGATATCACATTTTGTATAACAATTCCAATCAGGTCAACAAGCGATTGTCGAAGTATCACCTCATTTTTGTCTGGTTGCCACTTAACAAAAAAAATTCGTTTGCAAGGTAAGACACCTGATGGCGTTGAAATTAATATAGAATTTGGATTGTTTTCGTGTTGGGTATCATATGAAGCCTTAACTTCATCGCCAGCTACTTTTATAATTGCATCTTTTAAAATTTTTGATGATGAGCTTCCGATAATAGCATCCACCTTTCAAAAACAAGAAATTGAATAGCCTTTTTAACATCGAAAGAAATTTCTGTACATACTTTTTCTGTTGTTATATCACCTGTCACAACTTGAATTGTTCCTTTATTAACAGTTGCAGCTATTACTTTCTTTGACCCTCCTGGTGATGTTGCTAATGAGGGTATTTGAGCTGCGAATCGAGGTCGTTGTGCTGAGAATGGGTGTTCTTGTGCTAAGAGCCGAGGTCCTTGTGGTGATAATGAGCCGTCTCGTGTTAGTGAGGGCCACCGCTGTCGTGATGAGGATCGAGGTCGCCGCTGTGCTGAGAAAGAGTTTTCTTTTACTAAAGACCGAGGTCCTTGTGGTGGTGATAATGAGCGGTCTCGTGGTGATGAGGGCGAACGTTGTCGTAATGAGGATCGAGGTCGCCGCGGTGCGGATAAAGAGTTTTCTCGTACTACGGGTCGAGACCCTTGTGGTGATAATGAGCGGTCTCGTGATGATGAGGACGAGCGTTGTCGT